GTTATCGACGTAGACAAGGACGAAGAAATGTATGGGCTCAGAACGAACGAATGAACAATGACAGGCCGGCGGTAGAAGGTCGAAAACCAAGCTCAGTAGGAGCGAAGAGTGTCGTGCCACTCATGGGGCACCTGGCAGAGATCGTAGACTGGTCGCCTCAAGCTGCACTGAGTCCCATGCGAGAAAGTGGCAGTCAAGCCATAAGGATGGCATAGCCAGATCTCCTTGTGCACTCGGCTCTAGAGAAAGGCAGTGGAGAAGTTCATCGTGTGCAGTACGTAATTTGTAAGGATCGAAGGAACTGGTTCAGAAATTATATTATGATCACCTGGGTACAATGCGAGGCTATATATAGGCTCGACACTAAGGCAGTAACCCCTGGTGTTACTAAAAGGTTCTGCGGGTCGCGAAGCATCGCGAATGGGTCCTTCCCGAATTCGGTAGAAGGCAATTTGGTGGCGACCAAAAAGCCTAGAATTCTGTGCACTCAACCTAGTTCGGTGCCTATAACTATACTAAATATAGAAAAGGAACGAACCTAGGAAATCAAGCAAATGCATGCAAGATAAAATAAAGTTAAGCAAGATAATGCATAATAAAGCAGAATCAAGCAAGTATACACCAGCAAAGCCGTCGTACTCTCACACGTCCCCCCCTCAAAGCTGGGTGGCGTAAGATACATCCTGCTTGACAAGATAGTTATTGAGAGCCCATATCAGCATCTGCAACCCAACTGTCATCCGATGGGTCATAGCCCTTCCAGCGTATCAGGAACTCGAGCGTGTTGCCGCGTCTGCGTCAATGAGCGAGAATTCATTCCACCTCGTACTCTGGTTCATCTTGTACAAGAACAAGTGGTGGTGGCGGTAGCTGTCGTCCCTGGAACTTAAGGTTGGGGTTCTTGTAAGGCTTCATTAGCTGAACATGGAAAGAGTTGTGAAGCTTCCACGTGGTCAGTAAGCACAAGCAGGTTGTTACTGGAGTCACCATCGCGTCAACGCAAAAGGGACCACAGAAGCGAGGCCGGAGCGTACGGAAGATGGGACAAGTCCAAGTTGCGTGTGTCGAGAAGCGCCTGATCTCCGATTGCTACCGATCGCTGTCGATCGGCATACTGCTTCTTGGAGATCTGCATCGTGGTGAGACGTCTATGAGTCTTCTCCCATAGCTGCTGCATGTAGTGACGAAGTCATGTGCGGGTTGGACATGTGCTGGTAAGGTTGGCTGCTGTGGTGTAAGTGGTTCCCATCCGTAGCAGGGGAAGAAAGGGAATTTCCCTGTGGCCGCATGTGACGCGTTGTTGTACGCAAACTCTAGGGTCGGTAACTGTAGACCCAAGTGGCTGATGCCGTCTTTGCCAGCTGTGCGAAGTAACTGTTCAACCACCTGATTGAGTCGCTCAGTCTGCCCATCAGTCTGGGGGTGGTCTGAAGACATCACAAGCTTTTTTCCCAACAATTTCATATGTTCCCTCTAGAACTTACTAGTGAACTTTGGGTCCTTGTCCAAGATGAGTGTAGCGAGGATACCGTGGAAGGTGACGATGCGGTCAAAGAAGAGGCGAGCAGTTGTTTCAGCTGTAGCCATGGCGTTGGTCGAGATGAAGTGTCCCATTTTAGAGAACTTATCGATCACCACGAGTATAGCATCATGCCCCTGTGAGTTCGAAGGAAGCCCGGTGATGAAGTCGAGGCTAACAACTTGCCATGGCTGCTCCGGTACGGGTAGAGGCTGAAGTAATCGTGCTTCTTTCTGCTTGCTACTCTTCATCCGCTGGCACGTGTCGCATGAGGTGACAACTGCTGCCCGTCTGCTGCCATCCGGGGCTAGTAGTAATACTTAGCTATCCCTTCTAACGTCTTGTTACTCCCAAAATGTCCCGCATATGCTACGTCGTGAAACTCCTCGAGTAAGATCTGTCGGAGCGGGGCATAGTTCGGTACCCAAATCTTTCCTGAACCTTTCTTTACAGCTAAGTCTGTCTCCCACCATAACAGCTTCTGTTTTCTGTGCTGTAGCAATCTCTACGTCCACGGAGTACCCATGTTGGAATAGACCCTTAAGCAGAGGGTTCATCTTGTCAATCTGGATGCCTTTTATGTGCCCTAGGCAGCTCAGTGGGTCGGCCTTGTTACGTAGCCCTGGCTTGTAGACGATGTCGTAGTGGAAGTGGAGAAGGAGAAGACACCTGACGTGAGACACACCCGAGAGACAGACCTGAAAAATAGTGTGAGACACACCTGAGAGGGCAGGACCTGGGTGGGGAGGGTGTACCGGAGGAGCAGGACAAGGAAGAGGAGTGGGAGCTCGAAAGAGGGGAGGGGGGGAGGAACCGAGAGACCGCGGTGGGGAAAGCGGGCACAGGAGAGTCAAAATGAGATGTCACGGGAGTCGAAAAATCGGTGGATGGGCGGGTGGTATAACGTGAAGTCAGGGGAGTCCACCAAGAGCCAGGAAAGACATAAGTGAGGGTGCGAGCCGAGAGCTTGTCCGCAGGCAGCCCCAGGCACGAAACTCAGACGCAACACCAAGGGACTCGGTCCAAAGACTGGTCGGTGAAGCCTTTGGTCATGAGACGCGAGACCAGAGGTTGACCTAATGGGCGGCATAGGGTTACCGAAGTGTGGGCAATATCATGGCCAAGCCTATGCAGCGCTCATTAAACCCATTATGCTGTGGGGACTCCGGAAGCATCCAGGACCAGGTGATGCCTACTAGCGACAAAACCCGGCAAGCACGACGGAGCAAATCTGAACTCCACAGCCGGGGTGGTAATGGACATAACTACCACGCGTGTCACTAGTTGCCAGCAACCACGTGACTAGGGTAGAAGTTACGTCGGACTTCTTCTGCATGGCGAACACAATGGTGTAGTGAGAGAATTGTCAACGACCACCAGAAAGAAGCTCTCTCTCCCAGTTCCAGGGCGAGGAGCGGGGCCCCAGACGTCCAAGTGGAGGGTCAGGAGGGGCGCGGTGGATGGGCGAAAGGAGGAGGAGTGAGGAGTGGCGCGCAGCCTACCTTTGACGCAAGGAGTGCATGTCGGCGCAGGCAAAGGAGAGAGCGACACAAATATGCGTGGGGGACCTTAGAAATGTGACGGAGGCATGAGAGGGACGGGTGACCAAGACGGTGGTGCCTCTGAACAGTCGGGTGCGAGAGCGACCGACATGAGCACGACGCACCAATCTGATCATGCGCAACTATTTTACCAGACGCAGCTACCTGGAAAGACGCGACGTGCAGGTTGAAGAGACCTGAGTGGGGCTCGCGGTGAAACGTGGCCAGAGATGCCCTAGTGGCACAGTTGAAACAGGTCGCAAAACGCTCGTGCGGAGGAAACCAGGTGCCAACACCGAGGTCCGGACGGAGTCCAACACCCACCAAGTTCCTGGAGAACAAGGGAATGTAAAGACCAGCGAGGATAGTCGAGGTTGCACCCGGGCACCGGAGGGTGGTAAAGCTGTTGGCAAACTGCTGGTCCTGAAGAAGGATCAGCAAGGGCAACCGGAACCAAAGCAGAAAGCGGTGTAGCAGTCGTGTGGTTTCTGAAGAAGCACCAAGACGCGCCAGAGTCCAGTGTGAAGGAGAGCGACCTGTTAGCCGCATGTACACCTGGGCTAGTAACTACACAAGTACGTGAACTAGGCTACAATCATGTGAGCAAACAGATCCAGCAGCACTATAGTCAACTTTGTGAAACATCACAGAAGCAGATCGCAAAGCCTCATGCAACTCTACTGAGACATGTGAAACAACGCCAGGTCAAGGGAGCGAGCTAGCGGGGACCTGTCCGGAGCGGGGCCAAAGACATACTATTTGCGGAGGCAGTCTGTCAGCCGCGCAACGCACTGACATGCAGGGTGAAGTCCGGCACAGGGACCACCCTGGTGAGTGCCAGTCTAACAAGGTACGGGCACGGAGTAGGGACGACACCACGCGACATCCAGCTGGGTGGGCCACCACTACGTCCAGCGCTCCATGGTCCACCAGGTCCCCACTGCGGAGACTGTTCTTGCACCTGTTGTGAAACAGATGCTGCGGCTATCCTTCCTAATGCTGATGTCCCTGCTGTGGCTGCTGCTACGTGGACTGCTGCCACTGCCGCTACCCCCGCCACCCCCTCCACCACTACCACCGCCACCACCCTTCCACCTTTTCTTACCTCCCCTGCCTCGCGTCCGCCCGCTAGCGACGGATATGGCTGGAGTCTTGTCAAAACTAGGAGACGCCAGCAAGGGAAGAACTGAATGTGGGGAGTTGTGGGACAGTACACCCTTGAAAGAGTGGGGAAACTAAGGCGGCAGAAGCAGAGGCAACGGAGCGGATGCTGCTCTCAATTACCTTGAGAGCTCCCTCAAGGACCTCGATAGTGAGCGCACCAGGGTGCTTCCAAAGAAGTGCGAGGTGCAAGGTGGTCAGAGAGGCTAGTGACTATGAGGTGAATAGTGATGTGCATGGGCGGGGGGGTGTGAAGGGGCGACTAGAAGCTCAGCCTTGGTACAACCAGCACGATAGGTAGCGTCGAGCTAGCGCGGGTGGGTGACAAGGTCGGCAGTACAGTCAAACGCGCCTAGGTTGAGAAAATGAAACGACATGAAGAGGCTACCAAGAGAGGTAAAGTAGGGAGTGGAATAGCGGTTCTTAATCGCATCGAAACAATTCATGGAAGATTGAACCTGGTTGTAGTGGACTTCCTCAGTCTCGGGGAGAAGGCTGCTAACGGCAATACGAGTCGCAGTGCTACAAGACTACCACACCGACATGGCTGTATGGGGCCGAGCGAGCCCCTCCCCGTCTGCGGCAGTAGGTTCAGGAGGCAGGTCAGCAGGCGCGGAGGTGAAGGGAGGTCACCAGAGGCGTATGCCCAGAGCGGGTCACCATTCTGGCACTGACTCCATAGGAACAGATCGGCGCGCTCTGCTGCTATGATGCACGCTGTTGTAGTGGCGCGTGGTCCTACTGCGCACGCACGCGGTTGCGTAGGTTAGCGCGGGCAGCTATGTGCTAAAGGGCTGCTGGCGCGCATGGCAGCGGGGGCAGTGCAGGGAAGCGATGGGCACCGTGGGCAGTGTGCGCGGCTGTGCGCGGCTGCGTGCCCGCGGCTGTGCGTGCGCGGCTTCGTGCAAGCGGCTGCGTGTGCACGGCTTCGTGCGGGGCAGGGCGAGTGGGACGAGAACAGGACAGAACGGACTATGCTAGGTTCCCTAGAACGACCTCGCGGATGATACCACCTCAGGGTGTGCAAGCGGGAATGTGTTCACTAGCAGGATGAGCAGAACATGTATGGTACCAAGCCTAGAATGGGCTGTACTCCCTACAATGCTACTCACTGTAGCCTAACAAGCTATTATAACATTTGACAACGCCCCCGGATAAATGTCCCCCTCATAACATGAGTTTCGGGGCTTTTTATTGTCACCAGCGAAAGCAGGAAAAAGGTTTTTTCCCACTACCTCTTTTGTAGCTTCAGAATTGTATCGTGTAAAACAAACAGCAAAAGCCCAGGCTAACATATTTGTTGAATTACAAGCCCCCAGCCCCAACCTCTCCCCAAAAAAAGCCAAAGAAACTTCAAGCTCCCCAGGGGGTCGATCTAGGAAAATAGGGTACCGGTAAATGTACTTGTGAAATAACATGTACTACAGGAGTAATACTCACGCAAAAAACCAAAACACCAACCATCGTAAAACAGAGCTCTAGAGGCAAAAAAACAACAAAGGTTCATCCAAGCAAACCAAGTCTCTGGCACTGAAGGGTGATTGGAACAGCTGCAGAGGTCAGCATACTGACACCATGGCTCCGGACTGGGACTCCATTGGACTTGGACACATGCTCCTGCAGAAAGGTGCTCACTAATAGGAGGCAGTCACACAAAGCTGCAATCAAGGAGGCACCAAATGGGAAGCTTTAGAGAAAAATATTGCTAGAACACATGTCGTTAACTCAATGCAGTACGCCCCTAACATCAGAGAAGCTATAAATGTAGAAAAACATACATTATCAATGTAGCGCTGGGAACTGCGGAAAGAGATCCAAGGGTTGAGGCTGTAGAGGTCCACCATGGTGGCTCCATTGGATGCCGCCACCTGCTGGAAGTCCACCCATCCAGGGATCTGTATCATCTTCCCACAATTCGGCCTGGCTTTGGCTGGGTTGCGCTCCACACACAGAGAGCGGAACGCGGGTAGGCGAGAGGAGCAGCAAACGCTGGGGTTGAGCTGCTGCAGGCTTTCCTCGGTGATGCTGAGATACCGAGCCACCCACGAGCATGTGTCGGCCTGTGGAAGCGGAAGGGAAGTGGAAAACGGTAGGGGGGGGTTGAGAAGGAAAAAGGTGGTCAAAGGGGGTGAAGGAAGATGCAGCAACACAGTGGTAGCGGAACGCTAAGGTGCAAATAGGACCGCGTGGCACGTGGTGTTCCTGCTGCTTCTTGGGCGAAGGATGGTCAGGGGGAGCGTGAAAAGAGAAGTGGAAGCACAGCGCATGTCAGCACATGGTGGCACTGGTAACATCCCCGCTATCCAAGCGTGATGCATGGGATGCTTCCGTTGTGGAAGAAACGTGTCAAACTCACAGGCTGGGTGTAGTAGAAGGCAGAGCAAGCTGGCAGAAGCTCTCGCACCACGAGCTCGCGACCCCGAGGAAGGAGAGCAGAGCAGTTGATACCCTGGAGGGGAAGGGGCGGTGAGAGAGGAAGAGGGTGAGGGAGAGGGAGACAGTGGAGTAGAGGGAGAGAGAGAGAGAGAGAGAGAGAGAGAGAGAGAGAGAGAGAGAGAGAGAGAGAGAGAGAGAGAGGGAGAGGTGAGAGGCGGAGGGGGTACAAAACAATAATATATCGAGAAGGTCAGTTTAGGCACACAGGCTTGCAGGTCTCACCGGGTTCATGGCGGTGAACTGCTGCAGCGTGAGGCCATACACGATGTACACGTCCCTGCACCTCCAGTCGCTGCCCACGACTGTGATGGACGAAATGGCCTCCCATTTCTGATCTGCACACGCTCAACGGGAAGGGTGAATATGCCGTGTACGTGATGCATAGGGGAAAACACATTTGATCCAAGAAATTACACTCCTTGAGTTTCAATGTGTAAAAAAGTGTTTGCAGTATAGACAACTGTAGCTTACCACAATAGCTGCCCTGAGAACGGTGGTTGGGCAGGCAGACACAGGTCCAGTCCCTGGTGCCACGGAGGATGCATGTGCCCCCGAAACACGGATTGATTCTATCATAGCCACACTCGCGAGCTGGGGGGAGACACACACAAGAAGCAGAGGGGGGCAAGTACTGGAGCGGCGAGGATGATACAATTGGGGGATCCGTAGGAGAGGGAGGCAGAGAAGATTAGGAGCATCGCTTCTGCCAGTACTTGAATGCTTTTGATCAGGCAATGGTGCTTGCCAGGAGCACAAACGCTGCCAGCCCCGACATAGCCCTGATGCGTGGAAGCCTGATCGGTTTTGGCAAGATGGATGGGGAACAACCGCATTGGGGCTTACTGCTTGAACTCTCTGCGTCGGGGTACTCAGAAGGAGCTGTGGTGTTGCTGGCAGCAGCTGTGGTGTTGCTGGCAGGAGCTGTGGTGCTGCTGGCAGGAGCTGTGCTGTTGCTGGGAGGTGTGGTGTCGCTGGGAGTACGGGTAGAGTATCGGGCACTCACGCAAAGCTTCAATAGAAGATGCACCAGTTGCAAAGGAACACACAGGATTAAAGGACTGGAATCATTAGATGATACAAGGCATGTTGAAAATGGAAATTCATTCATCTTACAAAATGTATCGACTTACAGATGAAATATGTTTCGACCTACAGACAAAATGCACAACCAGTAACTCAGTCATTTGCCTTGGAACTTACATTATCAGTCTTGCGCAGGGAATCGCGGAAGGAGATCCAGGGGTTGAGCCTGCAGAGGTCCACCATGGTGACTCCATTGGATGCCGCCACCTGCTTGAAGTCCACCACTCGGTCGATCTTTATCTCCTTCTCGCAGCTCGGCTTGGCCTTGGCTGGGTTGCGCTCAACACAGATAGAGCGGAACGCAAGCAGGCGAGAGGAGCAGCTAACACCAGGGTTGAGCTGCTGCAGGCTTTCCTCGGTGATGCTGAGAAACTGAGCCACAGATGAGCATGTGTCATTCTGTGGGAGGGAAAGGAAAGTGGTAGGTGGTCAAAGGGGGTGAAGGAAGATGCAGCAACACATGGGTTCTGGAATGCTGGGAACGCTAAGGTGCAAAGAGGACCGAGTGTCACGTGGTCTTACTGCTGCTTGGGAAAACGATGGTCAGGCGAAGAGTGAAGGGTGGAGAGAAAGAACAGCACATGTCAGCACATGGTGGCAGTGGTACCATCCCCACTATCCATGCGTGATGCATGGGATGATCCCAAAGCAGACTCAACTCAAAGTGTGAGACTCACCGGCTGGGTGTAGTAGAAGGCAGAGCAAGCTGGCAGAAGCTCTTTCACCACGAGCTCGCGACCCTGAGGAAGGAGAGTGGAACAGTCGATACCCTGGAGAAGAAGGGGCAGTGAGAGAGGGAGAGGGTGAGCAACAGGTGAGATGGATAGAGATAGAAGGGCGAGAGAGCAAGAGAGGGTGAAAGCGGGTGGAAGGGAGATATGGCACAGAAACAGGAACGGCGCAACGAGCTGAAAAAACGCACACATGCTTGTGGCAATGGTTTGGCGCAGCATGTGTCAGAGCTCACATGATTCATGTCAGTGAACTGCTGCAGCGTGAGGCCATACACGGTGTACACGTCCTTACACCTCCAGTTGCTGCCTGCGACTCTGATGGACGAAACGGCCGCCCAGTTCTGATCTGCACACGTTCAACGGGAGAGGAGATAATGCCACGTACGCAAGCCAACCATTAATGACAACAACACAGCACATTAGATCCGGGAACACACAGCTTAAGTTTCTAAGTGTGAAGTGCTCGCAACATCCACTAGTGTGTGAGGCGTTGGCAGCAGAGAGCAAGCTTTCAACAGTTGTAACTACGAGGGCTTACCACAGGTGTAATCACAAGGGCTTACCACAGGTGTAATCACAAGGGCTTACCACAGGTGTAATCACAAGGGCTTACCACAGATGTAATCACAAGGGCTTACCACAGGTGTAATCACGAGGGCTTACCACAGTTGTAATCACGAGGGCTTACCACAGGTGTAGCACTGAGAGTAACCACAACCGTAGACTTTCAATGGGTGGTTGGGCAGACAGACGCAGGTCCAGTCCTGGGTGCCGCCGTTGATGCATGTGCCCCCCAAACACGCATTGGCTCTGTCGTTGCCACACACGCCCGCTGGTGGGGGACACACACAAGAGGCAGAGGATGGAGAGCACAGGAGTTGGAAGGGGGATCCATGGGGCAGGAAGGAGAGGGTAAAGAAGACGAGGAGCATCGCTGCTGCGAATACTGAAATGCTTTGATCAGGCAATGGTGCTTCCCAGAGGCACAAGCGATGCCAGCTCCCCAAATCAACCCCCTCGCGTGGGAACCAGATCGGGAAAGGATATGGGATGGCTAACAACTTCAGCAATGAGTCTTACTGATAGAACTCTTTGCGTCGAGGTACTCAGAAGGAGTTGTGCTGCTGGCAGAAGCTGTGGTGTTGCTAGCAGGAGCTGTGATGTTGCTGGCAGGAGCTGTGGTGTTGCTGGCAGGAGCTGTGGTGTTGCTGGCAGGAGCTGTGGTGTTGTTGGCAGGAGCTGTGGTGTTGCTGGCAGGAGCTGTGGTGTTGCTGGCAGGAGCTGTGGTGTTGCTGGCAGGAGCTGTGGTGTTGCTGGCGGGAGCTGTGGTGTTGCTGGCAGGAGCTGTGCTGTTGCTGGCAGGAGCTGTGGTGTTGCTGGCAGGAGCTGTGGTGTTGCTGGCAGGAGTTGTGGTGTTGCCGGGAGGAGGTGTAGCGTATTGAGCACTTACGCAAAGCTGCAATAGAAGATGCACCAGTTACAATGGAACACACAGGAATCAAAGACTGCATTCATAAGAAGCTATGAAGATGACGGTATGCTTCAATCCATGTTACAGAATTTATCGACTCACATATAGAATATGTATCCACAAGTAATGCACAACCAGCAACTACTCAGTCATTTGCCCTAAACTTACAATATCAATGTTGCGCAGGGAATTGCGGAAGGAGATCCAGGGGTTGAGCCTGCAGAGGTCCACCATGGTGGCTCCATTGGATGCCGCCACCTGCTTGAAGTCCACCACTCGGCCGATCTGTATCTTTTTCAGACATTCCGGCCTGGCTTTGGCTGGGTTGCGCTCCACACATAGAGGGCGGAACGAGGGGAGGCGAGAGGAGCAGCTAACGCTGGGGTTGAGCTGCTGCAGGCTTTCCTCGGTGATGCTGAGATACCGAGCCACGGACGAGCATGTGTCGGCCTGTGGAAGCGGAAGGGAAGTGGAAAATGGTAGGGGGGTGTTGAGAAGGAAAGAGGTGGTCAAAGGGGGTGAAGGAAGATGCAGCAACACAGTGGCACGTGGTGTTCCTGCTGCTGCTTGGGCGAAGGATGGTCAGGGGGAGCGTGAAGGGAGAAGAGGAAGCACAGCGCATGTCAGCACATGGTGGCACTGGAAGCATCCCCGCTATCCAAACGTGATGCATGGGATGCTCCCATAGCAGAAGCAACGTGTCAAACTCACATGATGGGTGTAGTAGAAGGCAGAGCAGGCTGGCAGAAGCTCTCGCACCACGAGCTGGCGACCCTGAGGAAGGAGAGCAGAGCAGTTGATACCCTGGAGGGGAAGGGGCAGAGAGAGAGGGAGCGGGTGAGGGAGAGGAAGACAGTGTATCAGAGGAAGAGTGAGAGAGGGTGAGAGAGGGAGAGGTGAGAGGCGGAGGGGGTACAAAACAAGAATAAATTGAGATGGTCAAGTTAGGCACACAGGCTTGCAGGTCTCACCGGGTTCATGGCGGTGAACTGCTGCAGCGTGAGGCCATACACGATGTACACGTCCCTGCACCTCCAGTCGCTGCCCACGACTGTGATGGACGAAATGGCCTCCCATTTCTGATCTGCACATGCTCACCGGGAAGGGTGAGGATGCCACGTACGTGATGCATAGGAGAAAACACATTTGATCTAAGAAACCACACCCTTGAGTTTCAATGTGTAAACAGGTGTTCGCAGTATAGACAATTGTAGGGTGTTGCGAACAGAGGAAAAGCTTACCACAGTAGTTGCCCTTAGGGCGGTGGTTGGGCAGGCAGACGCAGGTCCAGTGCATGGTGCCACGGTTGATGCATGTGCCCCCCAAACACGGGTTGACTCTGTCGTAGCCACACACGCCCACTAGGGGGGGACACACTCAAGAAGCAGAGGGTGGCAAGCACTGGAGTGGCAAGGAGGATACAATTGGGGGATCCGTAGGAGAGTAATGGGCAGAGAAGACGAGGAGCATCGCTGCTGCCAGAACTGAAATGCTTTTGATCAGGCAATGGTGCTTCCCAGAGGCACAAGCGATGCCAACCCCTCTGTAGCCCCCTCGTGTGGAAGCCAGATCGATTTTGGCAAGATGGATGGCGAACAACCGCATTCGGGCTTACTGCTTGAACTCTCTGCGTCGGGGTACTCAGAAGGAGATGTGGTGTTGCTGGCAGGAGCTGTGGTGTTGCTGGCAGGAGCTGTGGTGTTGCTGGCAGGAGCTGTGGTGTTGCTGGCAGGAGCTGTGGTGTTGCCGGGAGGAGGTGTAGCGGAGCACTTACGCAAAGCTGCAATAGAAGATGCACCAGTTACAATGGAACACACAGGAATCAAAGACTGGATTCAAAAGAAGCTATGAAGCATGCTGCGCACATGTAGATGAGGGGGCGCTTCAATCCAAGTTAGAGAATATATTGACTCACATATATAAGATGTATCCACAAGTAATGCACAACTAGCAACTACTCAGTCATTTGCTTTGAACTTACAACAATGTCGCGCAGGGGATTGCGGAAGGAGATCCAGGGGTTGAGCCTGCAGAGGTCCACCATGGTGGCTCCATTGGATGCCGCCACCTGCTTGAAGTCCACCACTCGGCCGATCCGTATCACATTCCCACATTTCGGCCTGGCTTTGGATGGGTTGCGCTCCACACACAGAGAGCGGAACGCGGGGAGGCGAGAGGAGCAGCTAACGCTGGGGTTGAGCTGCTGCAGTCTTTCCTCGGTGATGCTGAGAAACTGAGCCACGGACGAGCATGTGTCGGCCTGTGGAAGCGGAAGGGAAGTGGAAAATGGTAGGGGGTGGTTGGGAAGGAAAAAGGTGGTCAAAGGGGGTGAAGGAAGATGCAGCAACACCGTGGTAGCGGAACGCTAAGGTGCAAAAAGGACCGCGTCGCACGTGGTGTTCCTGCTGCTTCTTGGGCGAAGGATGGTCAGGGGGATCGTGAAGGGAGAAGAGGAAGCACTTCACATGTCAGCGCATGGTGGCACTGGTAACATCTTCGCTATCCAAACGGGATGCATGGGATGCTCCTATAGCAGAAGCAACGTGTGAAACTCACAGGCTGGGTGTAGTAGAAGGCAGAGCAAGCTGGCAGAAGCTCTCGCACCACGAGCTGGCGACGCTGAGGAAGGAGAGCAGAGCAGTTGATACCCTGTAGGGGAAGGGGCAGAGAGAGAGGGAGCGGGTGAAGGAGAGGGAGTCAGTGGAGCAGAGGGACAGAGAGAGAGGGTGAGAGAGGGAGAGGTGAGAGGCGGAGGGGGTACAAAACAGTAATAAGTCGAGATGGTCAATTTAGGCACACAGGCTTGCAGGTCTCACCGGGTTCGTGGCGGTGAACTGCTGCAGCGTGAGGCCATACACGATGTACACGTCCCTGCACCTCCAGTCGCTGCCCACGACTGTGATGGACGAAACGGCCTCCCATTTCGAATCTGCACACGCTCAATGGGAAGGGTAAAGATGCCACGTACGTGATGCATAGGAGCAAACACATTTGATCTAAGACGCCACACACCTTGAGTTTTAATGCGTAAACAAGTGTTTGCAGTATAGACAACTGTAGGGTGTTGCGAACAGAGGGAGAGCTTACCACAGTAGCTGCCCTGAGAGCGGTGGTTTGGGAGGCAGACGCAGGTCCTGCCCATGGTGCCACGGTTGATGCATGTGCCCCCCAAACACGGGTTGACTCTGTCGTAGCCACACACGCCCGCTGGGGTGGGATACACACAAGAAGCAGAGGAGGGCAGGCACAGGATTGGCAAGGAGGATACAATTGGGGGATCCGTCGGGGAGTAATGGGCAGAGAAGACGAGGAGCATCGCTGCTGCCAGAACTGAAATGCTTTTGATCAGGCAATGGTGCTTCCCAGAGGCACAAGCGATGCCAGCCCCTCCATAGCCCCCTCGCATGGGAGCCAGATCGGTTTCGGCAAGATGGATGGCGAACAACCGCATTGGGGCTTACTGCTTGAACTCTCTTCGTCGGGGTACTCAGAAGGAGCTGTGGTGTTGCTGGCAGGAGCTGTGGTGTTGCTGGCAGGAGCTGTGGAGTTGCTGGGAGGAGCTGTGGAGTTGCTGGCAGGAGCTGTGGAGTTGCTGTTAGGAGCTGTGGTGTTGCTGTTAGGAGCTGTGGTGTTGCTGGCAGGAGCTGTGGTGTCGCTGGGAGGAGCTGTGGAGTTGCTGGCAGCAGCTGTGGTGTTGCTGGCAGGAGTTGTAGCCACATTCGCCGCCTTACCCAATGTTGCGTCTGCTGCCTGCGACGCCCGCAGAGGACTCGCTGCAAGGATGGGAGCACGTGATGCAAGGTGCACGGCCAGGAGGTGTGGTCAGTGTCATCCACGGATGGCATCGTGTTAGCCGTGCGAGTGCGACTTGCATTCATCTTCGTGTGAGGTGCATTGAACGTGTGAGGTGCATTTAACGTGTGAGGGTGCATTGAACGTGTGAGATGCATTGAACGTGTGACGTGCAATGAACGTGCGAGCAGAATACGACTGGCATCTGATGCAAAGATGGGCTCATGGGTGGAATGAGCTTGCAAGATGATGCGGCGTACCAGCGATGACGACCATGATGGCGAGCAGCGCAAGAACGGCCTTGCTCTTCCCCATGCTGCCGCGTAGACTTTAAGCGGACGCCACTGACTCTTCGCCCTTGAGCGGCCGCGCGAGTTGGAGCAAGCGCTGGTGGCTCGACGACTCGAGTTGGTAACAGGCTTGAGCTGCAAAGTTTGCAGGGCTCGCGAGAGGCGCCGCGGGAAGATTGCTGCTACCGTAGAAAATGTCGCTGGGAGAATGTCGGAATGCACTACTACTAGTAGTCGGAGGGAGAAGTGGTAGTATAGCGCACGGGCTGTATGCTGGTAGTGAACAGACGAACGGTGAAGTCGGTAATGGGCTGCTTAAATGGCATCGCCACGCCACGCTACTACTAGCGGTGAAATGTAAGTGCGATCGGACCATCGTCTGGCGACTCCGCGCATCCGCCTGGTGTGCGGCGGTGCAAGCGGGTAGGGTGGCGTGCACGGTGCCCGTGACGAGCGCGAGCGTGCCCGTGACGAGCGTGAGTGCTTTCGCCGTGGCCGACAGCTGGGGAAGACATGGGAGAACGCGATCCTACTATCCTCTCCAGCTAACGTGGCTTCGAGTGAAATCCTAGGTGGATTTGGTGTGCCAATGAGGTTCGACTGCTGGAACATGTTCCATGACTTACACCCCATATGACTGACGTTGACCTCTTTCTCGTAAGATAACGCGTTCCAGAAAAATGCCCAATCCTCGTGTGACGAAATTATACCGGAGCGGTTTGCATTCGTACAAATACCGCTTTTGGTTACAAGCACAACTTTGAAACAATGTTGCCACCAACACCTCACCAGCACATAAAACCCTAACAAGAGATGAAATAAAACCCTTAGATAACCTGGACACTAAGGGAAAATCAACCCTAAACACGGGAAGCCATCCAGTGTTTAGGGTTGATACCTTCCCTTTTTGCCTGCATTTCTCCCATGGGTATTATTTGGGGTTCTTTACGAAAGTCACGCTCTAACACAGGGGCGCGTGAATATCAATTTTATGGTAACCCATGTCAGGGTGCTTCCGTGTATAAAGGGTCACCCATTCACCTCGACACCTTGACAGAACCTTGCGTACTTCTGTTCGGTAACAACGTTCTGTTTCTGTCCCATCTCAACAGTGTTACCGCGAAATGTGTGATTCAAATGCGAGGGCAAATCGACGATGAGGAATTGGGATTGAGTACGGACGCAAACCGCTCGAGGCATAAATTGAGTATCAATGATAATGGCCGAAAACGACAATGCAAACACTTCGCAATAAAGCTTTCTGCCTCCGCCTCCCAACCACTGCTCGTTCTCGTTTGTCAGTTCTTGCTTACTCTACACTTCGGTAGATCGCCAGTTTGATAACGCGCGGTCGGCATTAGATTCAACCCCTCGTGAGGTCTACAAGACAGTAAGTATGACCCCTCTCCTTGTAACGAATGTCTTGTTTGCACGATTCTTGGCGTGTGCCCTCACTTCTACGTGGACCTTCTTCACTGGACTTCGGACATGGCAGGCTCCCTCTCTCTTGTGTTGTATGGCTAATATTCTGTTCCGTTCTTGAAATTTACAGCTGCTATTTCAGCAATTTTATATCCCCTCTCCCGATCACCCTGTTTCTTCTCCTCGTTTCTCAGATTTTGCCTTCAGCGCTCGTGGTGTTCCCCAGCTGGCTTGTTGGACCAGCCTGAGGTGCTCAACCTCGTGCACGCTGCCTGCGGCGATCCTGCATCATCCTCCGGTCCCAAGCATGACTCGTTCCTTGCCTCCAAACTCATTCCAAGGTCGGTCTCATCCTGCTTTTCCTGGTTCCCCCTTACTCCTCAGTTTTTGCTCGCATGCCTGCCTACATGACTCGATATGCCGATCTGACATATAGTCACAGTTACCCGGTTGCTAAGGCCATGCTGAAGCGCCATGGTTCTGTTGAAGGAAGTTGGCCCCGCCCTCGCTTGGGAAAAACTGACTTCGTGGTCGGGTGTGTGGGAGATGCAGCCGACCCTCTGCAGCACGCGAGATACGGAGGCTCTGCGCAGGTTGGATTGCCTGTACACGAGGTGTACTTGGGAACCCATGCAAGAGTAACTGAAGCATCCGCGAGTGCAACGAAAACGTCTCGTGCACATGTGCGAGTGGCGCAGCTGGTGCAGAGGTTCGCGTGTGTTCATCTGCGCAGGGTTGCGTCTAATCCTGCGCACCCTCGCGAATGCATAGGCTAATTTTGGCAAGAAATTCGAATGTGCCTTGATTTTGACCAATGAGGAGCCAAATTTTCTAAATGTCAACCGAGGTGGTCGAAAAAGGTCGTTGACCCGCGACGACGAAATTCGTCGACGTACGACAACGAAGGTCGTCGACCTACGATGACGAAGATCATCAACCTGTAGGGTTACCTGCTCGACGAGGTTCTGCGGAGGTGCGCGACCGTCATCGAGGCTGATGTGGCGATGTCGACCGACGTGGCAGCACGTGATCGACGTGGCTCATCAGGTGCAACTGTCTGCATATGACCGACCTGGCACCTGCGCAATGTGTCGACAGTGCACGTCGTGCGTAACTGTCTACAAGCACCTGCGAAGTAGGAGCTTGCACATTCGCTTACAATCACATGCGGATGCAGCATTGGCAAGCCGTGCATGAGCTGCGTTGGCGGACTGCAGACTTGCTGCATTGGCAGGTCGTCGACTTCGTCGTGCTGGCGATCGACCTGCCCGAGCACTAGCAAACCTTGCATGTGATGTGGTCAATCTTTTGCCATTGCTTGTCATTCTGAACTCTGTATTCACAACTTTCATGGTGAAACTCTTGCAGTTTTGCCCTATGAACGCACAAGTGCTAGAGAACATAGACAGAGCTACGATCACTCTTACAACCAGTGCCTACCCCATTGTCTAGCTCCCACCGTTGTAGAGTTTATCTCCGTGGGTTCCACGCCTGATTTACTCTTCCTTGCCCTCACGTCGCAGCGCTCTGTCGACTCCCAACTCTGTGTCTTATGCCTCTCCTCAATCTTTCCACTCACCTCTTATGGTGATGGTATAAACGCGGACTGCATCAGGAAAATTGGGGGTCCCGCAATCGTTTGGGAAACCACTTGGTTGCGAGTGGTTTTCTACCTTAGGCAATTGCCTAGGTTTGGCGATTGGTTTGCTAGGCTAGTGGCATCTAGCCCCCAAGTGGTTTTCGGTTGGGAGAATGCCTGGCTGCCGAGCCTGCACAAATGTTATGGAACAATGTCGCGAGTTGTTTACGGACATGTGGAAGAATTATTTGGCCACGATCTTCTTTCCTGACTCGATGTCATGTCAACAAAATCGTCTTGATTAAGGCTGAGTCGCAATATATGTCTTCGCGTCTAAAGTCAAATAAGTTTATTTCGTTTCATTAAAATCTATTAACAAAACATTATTCGTATAACGGAAGTGACCCTACACCTTTAGTATTGATAAACCCTTGAAAGTTGCATGTATCAATTTCTATTAGTTTTGTATCTGTTTTTTTGTTTGGACGACTAAAACGGCTTTATGTGCGCGAACGTGAGAGTACCGTTATAATGGGATTTGAATAGAACAATGACTTCAAATGTTACTATATCCCCTAATTTTTACCACCAATACTAGCAGTAACCTAAAATAGAAGAAATTTTTATTGATATAATAAAGTGTACACTTATTTAAATGGCTACATCTAGTCAAGCGGTGTCTGCTCCTCGTTTTCGTTATAAACCCTGCGATAAGAGGCCCTGGAGCTGAGGTCAGCTCGGATCAAATCACCAAGCTCATCTACTTCCAGCTCAGCTTCAGATGTTGCAAATGCCGACACAATCCCCATCACATTCAACACGAACCTCGTTGATCCAACGCTCCACCACCCATGCCTGCTTGGGGAAAGCTGCCGGGTCCCCTGACCGCTTGAGCTGGGCTTTGCCGTGCGGGTTTCGGAGCTTGAATCGAACCTGAAACACATGCACGGCAAAACCCCCGATTAAAATGACTTAAACAATTGCACCTTAAACATTTGCGACTGCGCATGAATAAATAATAGAGAACTTACCGCATCAAATATAACCAACAGCTGATCGGGAAACAATGTAACGGGAAGGTTCCCGTTGTATTCAGGGTCCAACAGTGATGCGCACTTGAGAAACGCGGGGCTAAAAAAGGGTGAACCATCACGCAAATGCCAGTAGATCCCCAGCAACTCTGCTAAGGGGAGAAAGCACACGTAAAATCAGACGTGTCACGAAGTGGAGAAAGCACATGTAAAATGCAGAACAGTGAACACTTACGGGAGGAATTGATCTTTACGCACAGCTTAGCAAAGTTCTCAAGCTCGGAGTAAGTGAGCTCGCCCTTCAGAATGCGCTTCTCTCTCATGAAGACACGTGGCTCCCTGCTCAACGCGTAAACATGGCAGAATCGGTACATCTTCCTGATGCGGTCGTTAAAACGCTCGCAAGCATGCACGAGGTTGCCTTGTGACTTGGCTCAAGGGTGACTCCCCTTCTTGTGACTTGAGGGTGTAGCTTGCTTTCCCTGCATACGACGCAACATGACCATGAAGTCACAGCAACATATAGGTAGGTTGCACATAGCATGTTTAACGCTTACTTATCAAAGCATTGAGCATGGTCTCGGAATCGGGGGAGAGGTTAAGAGTCTCCTGCCTGAACAAAAAGTCGCCGAAAGCCGCCTTGGTATCCTTGTGAGAAAAAACAAAAAAGAGAGAAAGAGTTAAAACAAATAAAAGAAAAACAAATATGAGTTAAAGCACTATTACGAGAAAAAACAAATATGAGGCGGCCGTTCTCCGTCTGATAAACCCATGCGATCGCCTTCTCACTCTCCGCCTTAGCTCGCAACTCCTCATTCACATCTGGTTCGGCGCGCGCCTCCGCGTCGTACTGAGCGGCTTCATTTTCATACGCTTGGCCTTGCACCCGGGACATAATCAGCTCCATCACGGAGTGATCGGCGTTCCCTGTTAATGGGGAAGGAAAAAATAACAAAAGCAAGACTTAGAAAGAAAGAAACAGAGTTTAGAGGTCTGTGTCAAACT